TATGCAGATGACACCACCCTTATGGCAGAAAGTGAAGAAGAACTAAAGAGCCTCTTGATGAAAGTGAAAGAGGAGAGTGAAAAAGTTGGCTTAAAGCTCAACATTCAGAAAACTAAGATCATGGCATCCGGTCCCATCACTTCATGGCAAATAGATGGGGAAACAGTGGAAACCGTGGCTGACTTTATTTTTCTGGGCTCCAAAATCACTGCAGATGGTGATTGCAGCCATGAAATTAAAAGATGCTTACTCCTTGGAAGGAAAGTTATGACCAAACTAGACAGCATATTAAAAAGCAGAGACATTACTTTGTCAACAAAGGTCCATATAGTCAAGGCTATTATTTTTCCAGTAGTCATGTATGGATGTGAGAGTTGGACTATAAAGAAAGCTGAGCCCTGAAGAACTGATGCTTTTGAACTGTGGAGTTGGAGAAGACTCTTGAAAGTCCCTTGGACCGCAAGGAGATCCAATCAGTTCATCCTAAAGGAGATCAGTCCAGGGTGTTCAATGGAAGGACTGATGTTGAAGCTGAAACTCCAATACTTTGGCCACCTTATGGGAAGAACTGACTCATTGGAAAAAAACCCTGATGCTGGGAAAGATTGAGGTCAGGAGACGGGGACAACTGAGGATGAGATGGTTGGATGACATCACCGACTCAATGGACATGGGTTTGGGTGGACTCCAGGAGTTGGTGATGGATAGGGAGGCCTGGCATGCAGCAGTTCATGGGGTCCCAAAGAGTTGGACACGACTGAGTGACTGAACTGAACTGAAATTGCCTATACTCATTTATATTGGTTTCTGTCCCTCCTCCCAGGCTTCTGGTGTGTGCAGAGCTGAAGTCTGAATGAGGCTTAATTCCGGGGCTCAGACTCTTAACCCAGCACACACAATTTTGCAAAGGGCCCAGAGAGCTTAGAATGCTGTGCTAGAAGTGCCCTTTGAGAATGTCTAGCTTAGAGCATTATACTTGTGGACCTGATTCTGTCACTTTCTGGGCAAAATGACTCTCCCAACAGAGAGTGAAAGGCTGAGTCGGGATGGGAGGAGTGGGTGAAGGGGGAGGGGATGACTCTAACTCCTAGGATCCCAAGAGAGGACTTTCATGTTCAAAGCTCTGGGACTGAATGGATATAATACAAATCTTTAACCTACATAAATGTATTACACTTCATCAACAAAATATTCGTTGAATAATTAAGTGAGGTTGGAATCACATTTTAGCTCTAACCACCATATAACTAGCTATGTGGCTGTAGTATTTAGAGGAACTAAAGAGCCTCCTGATGAGAGTGAAGGAGGAGAGTGAAAGAGCTGGCTTATGACTAAATATTAAAAAAACTAAGATCATGGCATCTGGCCCCATTCCTGCATGGCAGATAGAGGGGGAAACGGCAGAAGTAGTGAGAGATTTCCTCTTCTTGGGCTTCAAAATCACTGTGGACAGTGACTGCAGTCATGAAATCAGAGGACAATTGCTTCTTGGCAGGAAAGCGACGACAAACCTAGACGGTGTGTTGAAAAGCAGAGGCATTACTTTGCTGACAAAGGTCTGTATAGTCAAGGCGGTCAGGTCCAGTTGTGAGAGCTGGACTGTAAACAAGGCAGAATGCCGAAGAATTGATGCCTTCAAACTGTGGTGCTGGAGAAGACTTCTGAAAGTCCCTCGGAGAGCAAGGAGATCAAAGCAGTCAGTCTTGAGGGAGATCAACCCTAAATATTCACTGGAAAGACTGATGCTGAAGCTGAAACTCCAGTATTTTGGTCACCTGATGCGCACAGCCAACTCATTGGAAAAGTCCCTGATGCTAGGAAAGATTGAGTGCAGAAGGAGAAGAGGGTGTCAGAGGATGAGATGGCTGGATGGCATCACTGATGCAATGAACATGAACTTGGGAAAACTCCAGGACATGGTGAGGAAACAGGGAAGCCTAGCATGCTGCAGTCCATGGCGTTGCAGAGTTGGACACAACTGAGCAACTGAACAACAACAATTTATTACTTCAGCAAGAAAATTTTCATTGAATAATTAAGTGAGGTTGGAATCACATTTTAGCTTTACCATATAACTAGCTTTGTAGCCATAGCATTCCTCCACCCCCGCCCCCACCGCCCCCAACATTTGCTGAGTCTTAACTGTGCATTTTTAAAGACATACATTTCGGGCAAAAGGACAGCAGAAGTGAAGGTGTGATGTGTTCATGGAACAGAGAGGGGAGATCTGGATGTAAGAACTGTCTTGGTTCACTCTGGAGAGTCCATAAGAGTGAAATGCTGTTTTTTCAATATGAAAAATTATTCATTACTTTAAAATAACACACCAAGACAAAAATCAATAGTTTTGTACCTCCACAGGCAGTGAAAGCGTGATCATCTGAGCAGTGTGAAACGAAAACAGTTTCTGAGAGAGCATTTTGCTGAAATTGAGAGTGACGTGTGTGTATCAGTCATACACAGCAAGCAAGAGACAGGAAGATGGAGGAGGACACACAGCCCCACAGTGTCCCCAAAAGGAGAGAAGGCAACTCTTGGAAAATGATGGGAGCGCGCAAAGTCCATGCAATCAGCCGTGTCAATTGTGAAACATAAGTCCTCATGCTACGTGTTTGGAGGCTGCAGCCACAAAGATCAAGAGAGAAGATTAAAAACCTACACTTTCACGTCTGAGTCATCTGTGCCCCTCACCCCCACAATTCCCTCCTCCAACATTTTCATCTGTCTTTTGTTGAAGGATTCACTCTCACTGAAAAATAAGGATGGGTGAGGCAGAATTTTCACCTGAGCAAATCAGATGTGGTTTGGCTCCACGGCAGGACTCCGTGTTTTACTGGTTTGCTTATGTAAAAGTAACTGGGGGAAGCTGAACTATTTCAAACGGGTATGAAAAGTTGAAGAGAGAAGGTTTTGGAGCAATGAATGAGATGAAAGAGAAATCTGTGCCAGGCAAACTGAAAGCCAAGCAAAGAGCAGTTAATCATTCCAGCTGGAGATGGACAAGAGAAGTCCAGTGTCTCTTTAGAGATGAAGAAGAGCCCCACTTGTCAGGGCAAAAGCGTCTCTGACATCTAAGTGCCTGAGCGGGGTACTAAGCCTGCTATTTCTGCTCTGTCAAAGTCATTCTATTAAAAGTTAAAATAAGCCTGCAACTAGAGAATCTTACCCCTTATAGAAGCCTTATGTAATGTATGCAAATGTGCATCTAAATTATTAGCCTTCTATTTTTTTCCCCTTCAAAGCTGCACTTAATAAGTAAAAGCCTGTGAAAGCCTAGAGATTTCTAAAATAAAGTGTATCTAAGAACATCTTTAAGGAAAACTCTTGAGAGCTAGCAAGAGATCTAGGAGAAAAGGCCCTGTATGAAGAGAGGGGGTTGCTGGGTCCTGGCACTGGTTTAGCCCCTTACTATGCACTGGCTTTTGCAAACCATTTAAATTCCCAGGACCAAAAGAGGCTACATCTGAGTGGGAAGAGCTAGAAACAAGGATCCGAAAGTCTGGGTTTGAGTCCTCACCTTGTCATGTATGGGCTATGGAGCTGACAAAGAATGTAACATTTGGAAACTTGTTTCCTAATCTATCAAATAGAGGAAGTAATAGAACCCAATGGCTGAGTGGGTAAACAAGCCGCCTGCAATGCAGGAGATACAGGAGACGCTGGTTTCATACCTAGGTGGGGAAGATCCCCTGGAGGAGGACAATGGCAATCCACTCGGTATTCTTGCCTAAAAAATCACTTGGACAGAGGAGCCTGATGGGCTAACAATCCAAAGGGTCGCAAAGAGTCAGACACAGTTGAGCACGCACACAGGCACAACAGTACCTCATTCATGGGATTGCCGTGATGGACAAACAGTGTACATAAAAGGGGCTTTGCAAACTCTAAAGGACAAGAGACAAGTGAGCCTTCATCTCCCTTGGTTATCTGTGCCTCACAGAATACTAGGAGAAAAAATGAAAACTAGAAAGGGTTTATTATATAAAGTCCAAAGCACTACTTCACAATCATTATAGCGAGTAAGGACATACTTCAAATCTGTTGATAAATGGAAACGTAAACCAGTCAGAAAGCCAGCCTCAACTGGGAGATGTTTAAAACACCTTCCACTTACACTCAAAGGAAAACGGTGTTCTAGAGGGTGCTGGGGGTTGGGTGGCTTGGAGGAGACAGCGCCACACAAAAGAGGTGGCGAGATGGCGGGGCATGGGGAAGCACGCTATCGTCTGAGGCCTAAGGGAGCTGGAACGATCGCACAAAAAGGAGGTCTTCTAATTCCGTTTGAGCTGTAATCTGATTTCACGCTGGGTACACCGTCCCCTCCAAGTCAGCGCTGAGGGCGGTGCGGCAGAAGTTTTCCACCCAGCAACAGGATGACGTCAGCGGCCAGGAGGCCCGCCAATCAGGAGGCGGCATGAATCAGAGCGCGCTGGGGTTCTGCTCAACGGTCTCCTAGCAAAGCACCCTCAGGTCTGAGGCGCCGAGGCCGTTTGCACTTCCTCTGCACTTGAAGCTGAGACGGAACGGCTCCTCGGCTGAAAGGGTACCAATGGGTGTGCAGGCCCTGACGATTATTCGCGTGCAAACGGCCAGGCCACTGGGTCAGATAAGAGTCACAGCTATGCTTTCCTGCGAGTATTTTCGGCAATTAAAAATTCAGAATTAATATTTTAAAGACTTGACTTCTATGGCAAACCTTATAATTGTTTGCAACCTGCTTCATTTCATACATTATGTGCTGTGGGGTGGCTCTTGGCCCGTGAGCTGTATATACAGGTAAATACTGTACCTTACAGAGCTTGAGCCTGCTTCTTAGGTTTCAGGTCTCCTCTCCAATGACAAGCAGTCTGGAAGTCAACAGCTGTTTCATTTCTGGGTCAAAAGCTCCAGTTCTCTAATTGCACTAAAATGTGTTTTGTGTATGCTTTAAAAATAAGCATAAGTGGGAAGGTGATGAGGTGACTGGCAGAAATGGGCTCACCCTGGGGAGGGTAGAGCTTTGTGGTACTGCTGAGAACATGTGGTTATCTCCTGGCATTTTGTTAGTTTTTCTGACCTTAGTAGGCAGTGACAGCAGTCCTGGAAAAGGGCTCAGAAGGTTAAACCTCCCCACCCAGCATCGCAGTCTCTTTCTTACACTTCCCAGGCTGGCTCCTCACCTACCCAGCATGCCCTTTGCAAGGACAGTCTACACTAACTCTGTCCTAAAGCCAGAGGACTCTCTCCTGTGAGTGGAGGAAACATCTTCCCTAAAGCTAAATATATGTAACCCAGAAGGAGTGATTTTCCACCTTGTCTCCTTTCAGAGTCATCAGTCCCAGGAAGGAGCATGGACTAGGATTTATAAGCCCAGACCTGGTGCAACCTCTTTCCTTCCACAGCTTGCTTCTTGGATGAATGCCTCTTCTTTTTTCCCTCATTACTGAAATGAAGACAGAGTTTACAAAAGCTAGCTAATTAGGGCTAATTAGGGGCAAGCTGTTCTGAAATATTGAGAAGACTGACTTGGGAAATATATTTTAGAGAAAGGCAGACCTAAGATGTCCAAAGGGTGGTGCTGCTGGAGGAAGGCACATGGGTTCTGGGGATCAGGCTCATGCAAGGTTGAATCCCAGTTCCAGGACTTACCAGCTCTGCCCTCGAGGGCCAAAGCTCCCTTCCACAGGTGCAGACTGGGGCAAGGCGTAGCTCCAAGGATGGCAGTGAAGAGAAACAATCTTGCACTGAGCACAGGCAGGCATGTTGTAGCTACTCAATAATTCATAGACCCAGTGCCCCCTTTACACTGGAAATAAACAACTTGTTGGCAAATAGAAATCCCAGAGGGACTTGCTTTCACAAATACCGGAGGGTTTGTAATTAGCATGAAAAAGGATTGTTTCCAAGCCTTGAAAGCAGGTCGTTCTTTACAGACTCAGGCTTACTTGGGAAGCCTTGTTTACACTCTAGCATTAATTTGCTCTGCAAATCCTTATGGCTAGGGTGAAATTAAATTTCAGTTCAGGCTCTGTTTGAATGACCCCAAACTCCAAATGAAGGTGGCTTTAGTGTGATCTAAGTTTCATTTTTCGGAAGCCTTGAGATGAATTTAGCGGGCTTTCTAATACTTCTAGAAAGGCCTGACACTCTTGGCAAGAAAGATAAAACTGTCAAGTATCTGACCCCATCCTGTTCATCCCCTTCTTCATCTGGTATCCCCGAAGGGTACATGCTCCTGGTGCCCAAAGGAGTTTAGAAAAGATTTCTGCTGACTGGAACAGACTGGGAATCGGGTGGGGGGGGGGGGGCGGTGTGAAAACCCCAGGGCAGGTTAGAGGTCAGAGCAGCTGTGATGCCTGGAGGAGAAGGCAGGAGGAAGTCGGGGTGGGGGATGTATTTCCTGGGCGAGACTAAATCAGCTATTTTAGACTCTTTGGTTCCTCTTTAGTCAGCAGTCAAGAAGACTACAGAAATGGTAACATTCTATTATTTCCACAGGGCCTTTCTCTTGAAAAATGCATTTGCTGTCTAAGATAAAATGCTGTAGATTTTCTGTTCCCTTGAGGATTATTGCACCAGAGAGAAGGTAATGAGAAGACACCTTCCCACTTTACAGAGAAGGAAACTGATAGCTCGTGGGTGAAGCTCAGAGATTTGGGAAAGATCAGTCCATCTCTGAACAGTAGAGTGGAGATACTGAATCGGGAAATAGTGAAACAGAAATGTGAGCTCTCCTGACCTTTCTCTGCTATTACAGTTATTTCAAATCCAAGCAGAGAAGTTAGAAATGGATAAATTTGCAGCTATGCTTTAACCAAGAGTCCAGACTTGGCTGTTTTTGATTGACTGAACCTCTCTACACATGCAGACAGGGAAAGCAAATCTTTCCCTGTATTTAGGTGCAGGGAAGCCAGTTTATTCCGAGTGCCAGTTTGTGTCAGAACAATTTGTTATGGGTTACAGGTTGAATCCTGTCTTCCCCCTCCAAATATGTTGAAAATATGTTGAAATCCTAACCCCCAGTACTTCAGAATGCAATATTATTTGGGAATAGGTTAATTACAGATGTAACTTGATTCCCAGGTGGCTCAGTGGTAAAGAATCCTCCTGCCAATGCAGGAGACACAAGAGACATGGGTTCTGTCCCGGGGTTGGGAAGATCCCCTGGAGAAGGAAATGGCAACCCACTCCAGTATTCTTGCCTGGAAAATCCCATGGACAGAGGAGGCTGGCAGGCTATAATCCACAGGGTCACAAAAGAATCAGACACGACTTAGCGACTAACAGCAATAGATGTAATTAGTTAAATTAAGTGAAGTCATCCTGGAGCAAAGCTACCCCCTTATCAAATATATGTGGTGTCCTTATAAGACAACAACAGTGTAAAGACAGACATGTATAGGGAAAATGCAATTCAAAGACAGAAAATTGGAGTGCCTCATCCACAAGCCAAGAAACACTAAAGATTGCCAGGAAATCGCATTCTTCCACAAGTTTTGGAGGGAGTTCAGCTCTGCTGACACCTTGATTTCAGTCACACTCTAGCTTCCAGAAATGTGAGGTGATAAATTTGTTGTTTGAAGGCACCTAGCTTGAGGTACATTGTTGCAGCAGCCCCAAGAAACTAAGGTGTACGGCATTAACCAAAATTACTGATGTCACTTTAGACTGGATAAAACTGGCAGCTGCATGCTTGGGCAAGTTGTCAACCTTTCTGGAAGAAGGTTTTCTAATCCATGAAATAGAAATGGAGTAGATGATTCAAAGGGCTTCCCTGCTGCCTCAGTAGTAAATAATCCACCTGCCAATGCAAGAGTCATGGGTTCGATGTCTGGTTCAGGAAGATCTCCTGGAGAAGGAAACGGCAACCTACTCCAGTATTCTTGCCTGGGAAATCCCATGGACAAAGGAGCCTATTGCCCATGAACAGTGGGCTGTCACTCCTGGGGTTGCAAAGAGTCAGATATGACGTAGTGGCTAAGCATGCACGCATGTGGTTTAAAGGAACTCTAATGTCCTTTGAGACTTAGCTAGTATCCCCCACAGATGATAGCTTTTCTTTTCCTAATCTAGTTCTTGAGTCCTTCCCCATCTCTCTCTACACGTGCCCATGTCTGAGGTCAGGCCGTCACTGCTTGCTTGGAAAATTGGAAAACTATTGTCCCCTGCAACCTATACATTAATACGAGTGGCTGAGGGTTCTTTGTAGACACAGATCCAATAACATCATTCCTCTATACACACTTTCTACAGCCTGACTGCCTAGAGAATACTGTTGAAAGTCCTTAGGTTGGCATGAGACTTTTCACATCCAGACCAAACCTCTCCCATCAGCTCCCACCGAGTTCCACACACCCCACATTTCATATATTCTAACCAGCCTACAGTGCTAAACAAGCCATGGACTTCCCTTTCCTAAAATCCTGCACCCATCTGCTCCCCAGAGACTTTCCACCTACCCTTTGATTCTCCACAGACTGTGAGCAATTTAAACGCAGGAACTGTGTCTTATTCACCATTTCTCTCCATTACCTTGTACTTTGCTTAGCATAGAGTAAGAGCTTAATAAGTATGAATTGAAGAAAGGAATCTGTCATTCCTCAAGACCCATTTGAATGTTTTTTTTTTTTCCTGTATAACTATCTAAATTAGAAGTTACCCGTCCCCTCCCCCCAGCTCCTGTGGTGCTCTGTAAAGATTTTATAATATCATTTCTCCCATCTGTGAATCTGCTTTGCACATGACACTAAACAAATGATTGTGGAGTAGATGGACAGATACGTAGTGGACACCTTATTACCATATATGTGTGGGTGAATTTCCCTTGCTTAGTGTGAAACTCTGACTCATTTACAGTAAGTAGAAAAGGTTAACCCTAATTTGATTGATTTTCCTTCTTTCATCAGATTGTGATCATGGCAGTTTAGTTCAGTTGGTCAAGATGTGTGCTTGTGCCCTTGCTTGGGGTCAGACACAGCTAACTCCGACACCCCAGGCAACACTGGGGAGCTGCAGGGCTGGGCCTCTCCTGGTCACTAGAGTCCCAGAGTGAAGGAGGGCAGAGGGGTTGGCACAAATTCACAGTGAGGGTCAGTAGCCTAGCCTGAGGGTGATGGCCAGGAACTGGGGCGAAACTAGAAATGAGCTCCACGCAAGGTGGGTCTCTCCTTTGGGAAGCTCCCCTTTCTCCTTCTCTATGGCTGAGTTTGGCCAAACAAGACCCTGAGTGAGTGTGGGAATGACACACACCCTCCTCTCCAGGCAGGTCTTCAGAGCAAATAGGCCCCGTGCAGAGCATCAGGTGCTGGGCCGAGTTTCCCAGAGGTCAGGAGATTCATCTTTTGAATTATAATACCTATAGTGATAACGACCATGTACTGGACGTTTACTGTGTACCAAGAACTCTCTCTCTCTCTCTGTCTTTATATATAGATACAAAATACAAAATAAACATAAAAAAAATATAAATACACACTATATAAAATATATAGTATAAAATATATGTTCTATTAAATATATATGCCATATATACATATACACAATACAATAAAATACTTACAATGTGATATAAATTGGGTATATGTGATGTTGCATATCTCTATCTATGATTAAAGTAAATTCTAATAACTCTGTCAGGTAGATATTATTATTCCCATTTTCCAGATACGGACATTGAGGCAATGAGCCCAAGTTAACAGCTAGTGAGTGGCAAAGAAAGGAATTTAGGGGCTTCCCTAGTGGCTTAGTCGGTAAAGAATCTGTCTGAAATGCAGGAGATCCCGGTTCGATCTCTGGGTTGGGAAGATCCCCTGGAGAAGGTAAATGGCAACCCACTCCAGTATTCTTGTCTGGGAACTCCCCTGGACAGAGGAGCCAGGCAGGCTACAGTCTATCGTGTCGCAAAAGAGTCAGACATGACTTAGCAACTAAATCACCACCACCATTTGTTTAACAGACTTCGCTTTTGACCACTGAACAACTGCTTTCTCAGTCGAGTGCAGTTTATCAGATTAATTAATTAATTAACCAAAAATATTTGTTTAAAACCTCCTGTATACCATTACAGTTCAGATTCTGAAGATAATGTGGCAAACTCCCTGACCTTATGGAATTTATGGTTTAGAGATGGGACATAGACGACAAAAACCACAAGCAAATAATTCTAGCTGACAGTAAGTGCTTTGGAGAAAATAAAACTGTAAAGGATAGGGTTTCCCCGGTGGCTCAGTGGTAGAGAATCCATCCGCTAATGCAGGAGACACGGGTTTGATCCCTGATCTAGGAAGATCCCACAAGCCACAGTGCAACTAAGGCCATGCACCGCAACTAGTGAGCCTGTGTTCTGGAGCCACGGGCTGCAACCACTGAAGCCCACGCGCCCGGGAGCCTCTGCGCTGCAGGAGAGGCCACTGCAGTGAGACGCCCAGGCACCGCCTCTCGAGAGTAGCCCCTGCTCTCTGCAGCTAGAGAAAGGCCGTGTAGCAATGAAGACCCAGCACAGCCAAAAAACAAACAAATAAAATTATTTTTAAAAAGCTGTAAAGGATAGAGTGTGACTGGCAACCTCTGAGATAGTCCCCAACAGTCTCCACCTTTCAATAACCATGTTCTTGCATGATCACTTGGGTGTGAACTGGACCTACTTGCTTCTTACTAGTAGAATATGGCAAAGGAAAGGGGATGCCATTCATTTCTGAGAAGAGACTGTGAAAATGCTTTTAAAGTACTTAGAGATACTTTATGTATGTAAGATTCAGTGAAATGCATGTTCCATTAACTAATGTTACTATGCTAATTTTTATGCTAGAGTATTAACTAACCTTAGAGACAAAACCAAGATTTAAAAAAGATTTTGTAGAAAGAAGAACACCAACTATTAAGACAGTTAACTTCCTTCAGCCAAGAGACCAACAGATTTTATGCTTCTGCCCAAATTTGTTTAATGTCCTTGGTCCAGGCAATCCTAAGTGCTCACTTCATACAAGGGGCCCATTTTTTGATGTTTTCCAGTAATCCAGATTGCTGAGAGCTAGTGCATTAAAAGCCTGACCTTGACTATTATGAGTACTAAAAGGCAACATTAAGGCTTTCAGGAAGTATTTTAGTGTTTTCTCATGCTATAAAGAAATATGAAATGAGAAGTTTCTTCAATTAGGTTAGGCCTGAACAAGAATTTAAAAATTAAACATCTGTGAACAATAAATATGCCAGAAGGGATAGCCTCATTCAACATCAAAGAAACACAGAGGCAACAATGAAATATAATTATCCTCTTTCAAATTGGAAGATATGATTCTTAATCCATATAGGATTCAGTGAAATGCAAGCTGTCAAACAGCTCACGTAGGGTCAATGACTAGAACAACCATTTGAGTGAAGCACTGGGCCCACGCATCAAGATTCTTAACCATAGGCCTCCCCTGTGACCCAGTAATACCATAGTATATTCAGCTCCTAAACTACAGCTGGCACATTATAGATGTTTTAGTATTTGTGGAATTAATTATTTAATTAATCAAATCTGATATAATCTTAACAAAGCCGAAGAAAGTAATATTAGCTATAAAATTGTATCTAGAGGTTTTGTTGTTGTTTAGTCTTTCAGTTGTGTCCAACTCTTTTGAGACTCCATGGACTGTAGCCCACCAGGCTCCTCTGTCCATGGGATTCTCCAGGCAAGAATACTGGAGTGGGTTGCCATTCCCTTCTCCAGAGGATCTTCCCGACCCAGGGATTGAACCCACATCTCCATGTCTCTGCACTGTAGGTGGATTCTTTGCCGCTGAGCCACTGATACACAATACATACATTTTTATCAGTTGTAATAATGTTCATAGATGTTTATTGAAGCATTTATTTTAATTAGGAAAATGGAAGCAGTCTGAATGTTTAAAACTGAAGTTTGATTAAACGAATCAAATAATATACATTTGGTGGAATATTTTCCTATCCTTAAAATGAGGCTTCTGAAGAATTTTTAGTAACAAGGTACAACATGGACAAAGATCAAGATTCTAAACTAGGTATAGCATTATCCTTAACATGCATATCTAGAAGGCAAAGCTGGAGCTTTACATGAGAAAAAATAATTAAGCACAAAATACTCCAAAGTGTAAATAGGGGTTATTTCATAAGTGATTTTTGTTTTTTTGTCTCTTCTGTGTTTAAAAATATTACTTCAAGACTTTGTTTACATTTTTAGTCAGGAAAATAGCAATGTAAATATTTTTAGAGTAATTTTTCTAAACCTTCACAATTGAGGCCACTAAACTATGACTATGCATTGAACCAAAAGTTTACAGTAAAACAAATGAACAGACAAAAAACACACTTTGAGTTTTCCCCAAACATTAGAATTATGCAAGTTTTTCTTCTTTCATTGGTTTTAAACCAGGTAAATCAATCTGGGTCAGCACAGAATGAGGCCATGTGGAATAGTGGTGATGAGCCCGAACCAGGCTTTGTCAGTTTATTCCTGGGTTCTGACTCTTACTAGCTTGGATGACCTTTGGCAAATTATTTAATGTCTTGGAGCTTCATCTGCAAAATGGAAATATTAATAGTATCTGCCTCATAGAGTGATTGAGCTTATTAAATGAGAATAATATGTGTAAAGCACTTAACACCATGCCTGGCAAATACTGAGTATCTGTGTGTTTGCTGTTGCCATAGTATGAATTCTAGCCAAGCAAAGCTCTGTTTAGTGTCAAGGGTTTGAAATCCAAAGCCTGTGCCCTCCACAAGTCAAGAGGAGAAGCTTGATGGTAAGATTTCTGTATTATTTGGATGTCCATGTGTCCATGATTTATGGAAGAAATGACAAAGATGATGAATTGAAGAATTTAGATGAACTGAACCTTAAATGCCATGGCCTTTTACAGCAAGCATTTTGAAGTATACTTTATTATGGGCACTTGGAGTTCTCTTGCTTTTAAATTGTCCAAAATAATAAGTTCTCAATTCATAGAGGAGTTCTCTCAACCTGAATGGAGAAGCAAAATTAGCTCGGGAGTTTCATCCCCTGAGAAGAAAGAGAGTCTCCTGCTTTGGACACTCAGTAGACAGCTGAGGTCTGGATCAGGCTCTTCCTTCACCAGGAAGTCTCTTTTCACCTGCTCAGCAAGACCAATTCCTTTTTCTTCTAAAGTCCCTGGGGCCTTTTTCTAGAGCCCCTTTGCAGACTGTCCCTGCTTCTATCTTGTGTTATTATTATGTGTGTCCACAGAGATCTTAAATTCCACATTTTATTCTTCCCGACATCACCCACTCTACCTAGCATAGTGTGTTAGTCACTCAGTGGTGTTGGACTCTTTGCGACCCCATGGACTGTAGCCCGCCAGGCTGTCCACAGAATTCTGCAGGCAAGAGTACTGGAGTGGGTTGCCATTCCTTTCTTGAGGGGATCTTCCTGACCCAGGGATCGAACCCCAGTCTCCTGCATTGCAGGCAGAATCTTTACTGTCTGAGCCACTAGGGAAACCGTATCTAGCATAGTTGAATTTCACATTTTTTGAAGGAATTAAATAATAATAAACTAGATATTTAGAGGAAAAGATTTGAAGATGCCACTTTAGAGCTGAAGATTTGGAGGTGTGGTGCTAGGAACCATAAACTGTAAAAAGACCTTAAGTTTTAATCAGGCTATGATTAAAACACAAGGTATGTGATTTTGAGGAACTTTCTAACTTTCTAATAGCCATCGTCCTTATCTGTAACTAGGAGGATAACAATACCTATCTCAAAGAACCGATAAGGGGAAGAAAGAGTCAATTATCTTCCAAGTGGTTGTCACTCAGTTAGTTACACAGGTGAAAAACATACTCAAGGCCACCCAGTCTGGTAGCTGCTAAAGCTACTGTCTTGCACTCTCTGTTTTTCTGTCTTTGACCAACATTTAGGTTTTGCCCGAATACCATGGCTGTGATATGAGAATCTCTTATAGGAGAGGAGTGAGGAGTGGCAGTAACATTTCTCGAGAGTTTGCTCTGTCCTGCGGACCTGCACCCTGAGCTATACCTGTAGTTCTTGAAGCAACTCTATGGCAAAGCCTATGGAAATGGGTGAAAAAGTCAAATGAACTGATATTACATTATCACATTTCAAGCATTCCTGGGCATGTTTTCAAGATCTTTTTCACTTTAGGCCCTCTTATTTGGATTCTGGGATATCTGGAGATAAATCAGGTAACTGGACTGACAACCTCTGGGAAATGAAGGTAACATTCACTTATGTGGAATAATTGGAATTTCTGGTTACTTGAAATTCCCTCCGTTATGAAACTTTTAGAACTAAAGTGCCAAGGAACTTACAGTGTTCCTGGGAATCCCACAGCTGTTTCAAGCAGCACAACAACTTGGCCATCATGAGATAATGTGCCATGGCTAATTTCCCAGCAAGTAGCGTAACTCAGCATTTGTCACTGTTCTATCAATGGCTTTTTAAAATTATAGATACCTGCTTGCCTCCAAATAACAAGAAATTTCAAGGGAAGATAAGAGTGCACACCAGATCTAATCTCTTTTCCATCTATGTTTTACAGAAAAGTGAATCCCAAAAAAGTGGATTTTCTTTTATTTTGGAGAAAAGAAGCATTTTTGAGGACCTACAGTGGACCAACAGTGATACGTTATACCATGTTATTCCATTTTTTTCTTCTCAACAACTGAGCCAAATAATATTATCCTCACTTTATAGAAACTGTAAGACTGCTTATTTGCTTGCACAGTGCTACACACAACACAGGTCTTAAGTAATAAAGTCAAGAATTAAACTTTTTTTTTTTTAAGGTTTTTTAAACCTGCAAGATCAATGTTCTTTTCGTCACACTAACACACACCTTACCTTAAATTACTTTCAGAGAGATTTTAAAAATCATTTACTGATTCATTCATTCAACCAATATTTATGAGGAGTGTTGATATTGAATGAGGAGTGTGTTCTAGACATGGAGCAGACAGGGGATGTAATGATTTGAAAGACAGTCATTCTCTACGGGGGGCTGGGTCTACAATGCTTTACATTAAGGACTACATGAATCTGTCTGTAAGTTTAACTGATTCTGTTGGATCTGGTTCCCACAGGTATGGTATTGGATAAAATCATGAAATTTCAGTCAGGGCATCTTATGTTGAGAACTGTGAGAGTCTTAGAAGGTGATTTACAAGTTAATCATTGACTCCATATATGGAGAATGAACATCTTGTGAGTAGCTTGCCATGTTAGGGGTGTGAGGTGTGGCAATCTTGTTCAAGGAGTTAAACTGTTGCTGCATGTGACATGGTGAACTCCAGGTTAAAGATGGCTGATGGCCCAACAGTGTGATCTTTGGAGAAAGGAGCTGCTGGAATCATGTTCTAAATGTAGCAGTTGAGCTGGTTGACATTTAGGGAGAAAATGTTTCCAGTTGTTAATGTAGGTCAGAAGGGGTGTGCAAAGTTTTGGCAATGAGAGCTGGTTTCAGGGAAACTTTGCCTAGTAGAAGATCAGTAAATGCAAACTGTGGGTCATATGGTTTATGGCACCAAGACTCGTGTGCTAAAGTTTATGATGGAACGACACAATGGTTGAGAGGTGGTGTGTGTGGAGTAGAGTGGGGTTCAAACCTCCATGTTTCCATTCCCTTATGCTCTTGCATTCAGGTGGGCTATTTAGCCTTCATGAGTTATGGTTTCCTCAAATGTAATACTAGATTCTGTTTCTTACCCTTGCAGTGAGGATAAAATGAGTTTTCTGTGAAGCACTTAGTAGAGTTCCCAGTTAATACTGAACCATAAATGGTAGCAATTTAAATCAAATATTAGTCGATGGGAAAATCAGGAATAACAAAGAGGGTATATATTTGCAATAGTTTCTTTTTTTTTTTAATTTTGTAATACTTTCTTGTCTTGTGATAACATCAAGGTTGGTTTTTTTTTAAAGCATCTCTTGCCTTTACTTTAACAAAAAAATCTATTTATTTGATGGTACCAGATCTTAGTTGCAGCCTGTGTGATCTAGTTCCCTGATCAGGGATTGAATCCAGGCCCCCTGCGTTAGGAGTGCAGAGACTCAGCCACTGGGCCACCAGGTAAATCCCATTACCTTTACCTTTAGACAGTTCTGGAATTTATTCATGCAGAATGTGAGACAGTTCTGGAATTTATTCATGCAGAATTTGAGCTCCCAAGAATAAGGGCTTTGTCTATCTAATCACCTCTGTATCCTCCACCTAGAACAGTGCCTGTCCAATAGTGGGCAGTCAATAAATATTTGTGGAACGAATGAATTCACTCAATCACTCAACCTTCAGTGTCCACAGTTAAGTTCCATAAATGTCATGAGAGACACAAAGACAAGTAACAAAGATTTCTCTCCCAATGTATTACACTGAACTAGGACAGAGAAATGTATACGTGGAGAAATGATACTCCAAGTAACTCTTTGAATAAGAAGAGGATTTTAAGCTGAGAATTTAGAGGAGGAAGGTTGAGTGGTATTTGGATTGAGCTTAAATCAAGTGGGAAGAACACTGACAAGTGGAGATATCAGGGTTAGGGAGGGAATGGAGACTGTATTCCCGGAAGTGAAACAGCACCAGTCAAGGTAGGTCTGGAGGTAGGAAAGAACAAGGTAGGTAGGAGAAGTACAATTTTGCTCACAGACAAGACTGGAAGGGAACTTAAGGACAGGGGCTGTTTCTGGAACACTTTCCATGGAGCCCAGAAGCCCATCCAAGGTTCAGTAAACAAGCTGTGAGTCAGTTCCATGGAGGGCTATGAAAGGGAGCATCCCCAAGGCCCAGTGAGACAGTTCCACGCTGTGGAATTAGCTACAGACAAGGGACGAAGCATGGGATTGATTAGCCTGTTGTTTCCAAACCCACCCACCCGCAGTTTCTGGGACGAGTTCATCAAATTCTAGGAAATTAAGACTTTGGAACCCTGGGTTTATTGGCTTGGAACTATCCTGTCTTTGTATTCAGATTCTAAATAAAGAATAATGGGACTCCCATTACATGAGTCTATTTGTTTGGCAGGGCACAACACAGACCTGAAGCACATCTGTGTCTAGCAAGTGGTTCAGCCCCATCCGTACGTACCCCCTCACCTTGGCAGTTAGAGCTGCTGGAAATTCTGTCTCAATTCTGCACCACCAAAGAAGACACAGAACCAGGACACAGAGGACAAACTTCAGGTTTTCTTTATGTCCAAGATCTCTGTATGAGATCAACCCCCAGATGATTCCCTCCTGCCTGGATTAGTGGCAGATGTAGGGTATGCTTTATTGAGCATATGCTATGTGCCAGACACAGCATCATCTCTTTGAATTTAATCTCCCCGACAACCCAGTGAGGTGACTTTTATTATTACCAGTATTATACAGCTGAGACACTAAAGTTCTACGAGGTTCAATTGCTGAAGTAGTAAAGCACAGCTCAGCCTCAAAGGCAGGTCTGTTTGTTGAGTTAATTGCATTTCATTGCAACTATAGACCACTTTTCTCTAAGGTAAAGAACATTTCCTTTGATGGGTACAAAGAGTTGAGGGAAAATGAGAAGCTTCCCAGAATTGGGGTTGATTTAGTGGGGGTGGGAGGGCGAGTTTCAGAATGCCTAAGAGGCAGAAGTCAAACGTCAGCAAATGAAGTGGAGAAAATTACAAAACTAACAGCTCCCGCTTTTTCTCCTAAGGTGACAATAGCTTCCTCTCCCAGCAGTGAAAGAAGCTGGTGTCTTAAGACTGGAGTCACAGTCTCCTTGTCAAGGAGCAGGTATTTTGAACAACATAGACATAGTGCATAAGCCCCCTGTCTGTGGCCAGAGGAGCAAGGCTGCCAGGCCTCCCTGAGGCGCACTTGTGTTTGAAGATTGGGCACCCACCTTGAGCTGGGCTTCATTGTGATTCCAATGAGTCATTCGGCTTGGGGTTTTGCATACACCAGACATGAGCTCTGTGCATGACCGGGGAGCTGAGTTTCCCCGGCCACACCCAGCCTGGGGTAGTTCCCCTGGGGTACTTCTGCACAACAGCCCAGAGATGCAGTCACTACTGGAGTCCAGGGAAGGGAGTTGTTCCTCCGAATTTCATGGCATCCAGGGCAACAGGCAATCCAGAAGGAAAGAAAGAAGACAAACTGGAGTTAGCAATTCCCAGATTTCCCCTTTGGAATGAAGTCCCCTTTGGACTGGGGTAGAGGCAAACCCCTCCACTCTGACAAAGAGAAATGTTTTCGTACCATCTTCTGGTGTGATGTTGAAATTTAAGCTCGCCTCTAAAACTTCCTGAGTGTTCAGGCATACCTGCTCTGCAAACCCCATGCTCTTAATAATGTCAGTTTCCTCTAAGGATGGCTGTCACTAGTTGGTCTGAAAATTGGAAGGGGGAGAAGTAGAAGACTCTCCCAGACAAAGTGAATTGTGAGGGTGGAAGGGAAGTCAAAATGCAGGTCTTGCTCAGCAATACTTAGAAGAGAAAAACAAAGCAAAACAAAAACCAGATCTGTGACTGATCTGCCAGCTGAGAGATGCCTCACCAGGATAAACAACTGGATAAGCAGTCAGACGCTGAGGTACATCCAGGACTGGCAATCTGCTCATCAGTCTCCTGTCCAAAATGGCTTCCCTTTGTTCTTGGGAGAGAGATGAATATCTTTAACCTGTCTACAAGGCCCCCAGTCTGGACCTGTCCCCTTTCTCACTGGGCTGTGGTTACACTGGCTTCTGGGACACGTGAGTACCACGCTCCATGTCATCCAGGGTCTTAAGCTTGTATATGCTCTTCTCTGTCTTCTGGAACGCCTATTCCCAGGCCACCCTACATCACTCAAAAACCAGACCAAACAAATAAAATCGTCTCTCTTTTTCCTCCAAAGAGGATGGTATGGTATCTCCTTGAATGCAGGGACCCTGTCATTCCTGTTCATGCTCAATCCCCATGCCTCAACTAGTGCCTGGCACATAGTTGAGGCTCAACCAAATATTTGCTGAATGAATGAATGGATTTAGATTGCTTCAAACATAGAGACCTGTTTCATAGTTTCATCGCATAGACTTGTCCTGTTGGACAAACAGCGTAAACACAAAGCTGGCTATACAGCATGATGTGAAGTGTAAGTCACTCAGTTGGGTCTGACCCTTTGTGACATCATGGTCCTAGGCTCCTCTGCCCATGGAACTCTTCAGGGAAGAATACGGGAGTGGGTAGCCCTTCCCTTCTTCAGGGGATCTTCCCAACCCAGGGACTGAACCCGGGTCCCCTACATTGCAGGCAGATTCTTTACCTCTGATTCACCAGGGAAGCTCAGCTAGATAGAATACTTCTACAACATATCACAAGCTCGATGCCAACCAAGAAACAAACTGCACCTACAGGGTGCCAAGCGCCATGCTCAGTGCTGTCAACTGGGCAGTTCAACAATCCTCTGAATGCAGAAGCTCTCGAGGGAAGCCTTGGTGGGTGTGGGAGGAGGCAGAGAATATAAGGAGAGTGCCTTTTATCTTTTCTGTGCAAGACACAGGCAGGAATTTAAATGACCCCTGTTGTGCTCTCAGCTCAGGCAGTGAATTAGTTCATCTAGGTAGAGTACTTTTTATCCCCACATATGTTTATTTAGTTATTATTTTAAAAATCAAATTGTAATCGATTTACAATATTGTGTTATTAATAGTTTCTGGTATACAGCAAAGTGATTCAGAGATATATTCTTTTTTCAGATTCTTTTCCATTATAGGTTATTACAAGATACTGAGTATAGTTCCCTGAACTATACAGTAAGTCTTTATTGTTTATTTTATATATAGTAGTGTGTGTCGGTTAATTCCAAGCTTCTAATTTATCCCATCCTACCTCTTTCCCCTTTGGTAACCATGAATTTGCTTTCTGTCTGTAGGTCTATTTCTGTTTTGTAAATAAGTTCATTTTTTTTAGATTCTACATATAAATGATATCATACAATACTTGTCTTTCTCCCTCTGACTTAACTTCATTTAGTGTGACAATCTCTAGGTCAATCCATGTTGATGCAAATAACAAGATTTCATTTTTTTATGACTAATATTCTTGGTATCTATCTATGTATAACATCTTCTTTATTCATGTATCTCTTGATGGACATTTAGGTTGCTTCCATGTTTTGGCTGTTGTAAATAGTGCTGCAGTGAACACTGGGGTGCATGTGTCCTTTCGGATCCTGTTTATCTCTGTATATATGCCCAGGAGTGGGATTGAAGGGTCATACAGTAGCTCTATCTTTAGTTTTCATAGGAAATTCCATAGTGTTCTCCCTAGTGGCTGTACCAATATACAATCCCATCAACAGTGTAGGAGGATTCCCATCTCTCCGCACCCTCTTCAGCAAATACTGTTTGTGAATTTTTGGTTATTGCCATTCTGATTGAAGTGCCATTCATTCAGAGTACCTGAAGAACTATGGCGGAGGTTCATGACATTGTACAGGAGGCAGTAATCAAGACCATCCCCAAGGAAAAGAAATGCAAAAAGGCAAAATAGTTGTCTGAGGAGGCCTTTCAAATAACTGAGAAAAGATGAGAAGCTAAAGGCAAAGGAGATAAGGAAAGATATACCCATATGAATACAAAGTTCCAAAGAATAGCAAGGAGAGATAAGAAACTTTCTCAGTGTACTGCAAAGAAATAAGAGGAAAACAATAGAATGGGCAAGACTAGAGATCTCTTCAAGAAAATTAAAGATACCAAAGGAACATTTCATGCAAAGATGGGTTCAATAAAGGACAGAAATGGTATGGACCTAACAGAAGCAGAAGATATTAAGAAGAGGTGGCAAGAATACACTGAAGAACTGTACAAAAAAGATCTTCATGACCCAGATAATCACGATGGTGTGGTCACTCACCTAGAGCCAGACATCCTGGAATGTGAAGTCAAGTGGGCCTTAGGAAGCATCACTATGAACAGAGCTAGTGGAGGTGATGGAATTCCAGTTGAGCTATTTCAAATCCTGAAAGATGATGCTGTGAAAGTGCTGCACTCAATGTATCAGCAAATTTGAAAAACTTAGCAGTGGCCACAGGACTGGAAAAGGTCAGTTTTCATTCCAATCCCAAAGAAAAGCAATGCCTAAGAATGTTCAAACTGTCACACAATTGCACTCATCTCACATGCTAGCAAAGTAATTCTCAAAATTCTCCAAGCCAGGCTTCAACAGTACATGAACCGTGAACTTCCAGATGGTCAAGCTGGATTTAGAAAAGGTAGAGGAATCAGAGATCAAATTGCCAACGTCCACTGGATGATCAAAAAAGCAAGAGAGTTCCCAAAAAACATCTACTTCTGCTTCATTGATTACACCAAAGCCTTTGACTATGTGGATCACAAAAAACTGCGGAAAATTCTTCAAGAGATGGGAATACCAGACTACCTGACCTGACTCCTGAGAAATCTGTATTCAGGTCAAGAAGCAACAGGTCAACAAGAACTGGACATGGAGCAACAGACTGGTTCCAAGTTGGGAAAGGAGTATGTCAAGGCTATATACTGTCACCCTTCTTATTTAACTTATATGCAGAGTACATCATGTGAAATGCCGGGCTCGATGAAGTACAAGCCAGGAGATTGCCAGGATTGCCAGGAGAAATAATAACCTCAAATATGCAGATGACACCACCCTTATGGCAGAAAGTGAAGAAGAACTAAAGAGCTTCTTGATGAAAGTGAAAGAGGAGAGTGAAAAAATTGGGTTAAAACTCAACATTCAAAAAACTAAGATTATGGCATCTGGTCCTATCACTTCATGGCAAATGGATGGGAAACAATGGAAACAGTGACAGACTTTATTTTCTTGAGCTCCCAAATCACTTCAGACGGTGACTGCAGCCATGAAATAAAAAGATGCTTCATCTTTGGGAGAAAAGCAATGACCAACCTAGACAGCATATTAAAAAACAGAGACATTACTTTGCCAACAAAGGTCTGTCTAGTCAAAGCTGTGGTTTTTCCAGTACTCATATATGGATATGAGAGTTGGACTATAAAGAAAGCTGAGCACTGAAGAATTGATGCTTTTGAACTGTGGTGTTGGAGGTGACTCCTGAGAGTCCTTTAGACTGCAAGGAGATCCAACCAGTCCATCCTAAAGGAGATCAGTCCTGGGTGTTCATTGGAAGGACTGATGCTGAAGCTGAAGCTCCAATACTTTGACCACCTGATGCAAAGAGCTGACTCATTGGAAAAGTCCCTGATGCTGGGAAGGATTGAAGGCAGGAGGAGAAGGGGATGACAGAGGATGAGATGGGTAGGTGGCATCACCAACTCGATAGACATAAGTTTGAGCAAGCTCCGGGAGTTGGTGATAGACAGGGAATCCTGGTGTACTGTAGTCCATGGGGTTGCAAAGAGTTGAACAGGACTGAGTGACTGAACTGAACTGATTCTGACAGGTGTGAGATTGTATCTCATTGTAGTTTTGACTGGCATTTATCTAAATAATTGGTTATGTTGAACATCTTTTCATACATCTCTCAGCCATCTATAGGTCTTCTTTGGAGAAATGTCTATAGAGGGAACATACCTCAACATAATAAAGACAATATATGACAAACCTACAGGTAACATCATACTCAGTGGTGAAAAGCTGAAACCATCTCCTCTAAAATCAGGAACAAGACAAGGATGTCCACTCTCACCACTTTTATTCAACATCATTCTCATTACACCCTCCAGCGTGCTCCATTCTTCCTGGACTCAGCTGATGACCACAACTCTTACTTCAAGAAAAGTGAGGCCATGAGCACTGAAATGCCTCAGCTTCCTCTGTATAACTATATATTTATTCTCATATCTATGCTACTTTATTTTCTTCTAAGTTTGGGAGGTTTAGAGATTTAGAGACTGATGTTTGAGATTGAAGACTCTTTCACTTTAGTGTTCTTAAAACTCTGGGTCCTGATCCAATCAGGAAAGCATGCAAGCTAGCAGAAATTAACGTCCACTGGGTTAATGGAATGAAAATAGAATAAAATAGAATGAAAAGAAAATATCAGGATACATAAAATGTGGTAAGGGTAAATACTGTCTTATAAACTGTGCTTTACATCTCTGATTGTATGTATATCTTTGTGGGTGTACTGGGTTTTGTGAAAAATATATTTCTTATAGTGGATGAAAGTAAAAAATATTAAGAGTGTCAGCCTATTGAAAGCCATTCTCCACCCCCTTCACATTTCCACATCATCCTCGCCCCTTCCACTGTCTTCTATCTTCTCTACATAGTCAGTTTCTTGCTCACTAATGATTCTTTCCCTTTAGTTTATTAATGCTCTCTTACTTTAACTTAGGCTTCCCTCATAGCTCAGTTGGTAAAGAATCCACCTGCAATGCAGTGCATTGCAACCCCAGTTTGATTCCTGGGTTGGGGAGATCCCCTTGAGAAGGGATAGGCTACCCACTCCAGTGTTCTTGGGCTGCCTTTGTGGCTCAGCTGGTAAAGAATCTGCCTGCAATGCGGGAGACCTGGGTTTGATCCCTGGGTGGGGAAGATCCCCTGGAGAAGGGAAAGGCTACCCACTCCAGGATTCTGGCCTGGAGAATTCCATGGACTGTATAGTCCATGTGGTTGCAAAGTGTGGGACATGACTGAGTGACTTTCACTTTACTTTAACCTTCCTTCAACCCACTCCTCTTCTGAGTCAAGAAGCACAATCTAAACTCTACCTCCCCTTCCCATTCCTCCAACCCCCACATCACTGAAATGGCTTTTTAAGAGATTGCATATGTTTTTCCCATGGCTAAATGGAATGCATATTATTTTAGTCTGGTATTAGTTGCAATTTTGTGTTTATTTGTCATTGTTGGCCATCTCCTCAGAACTTTTAACATTCTATGTTTCTCTTCTGGTTCTACTTCTACCATTCTGATTATTTCTCTGCTGCACCTTCATGAATTCTTCCTTTTTTTCCTAGCCCTTAAGCCTGAATACTCTTCAAGGAATCAAGCTCACCTTATGAACCTTCCCCCTCCCTGTTTCCCT